GCTTTAAATATTTGGACTTCTTCACTTTCAGTTTGCATGGGCTGATTACTGCAGGCTGCATCGGGCTTTAAAGAGATTCTGTGTAGCATTTAAGATGTACCCGTGCCTTTTTATGAGGTAGCGACTGAGGTCAACAGAATGAGGTGGTAAACGGTTTTGTTTGTTGTCCCCTATGAAATGGATGGCTAATGGAGGATTTATAGATCCGAATGCAGGTTGGTTGTTTTGCTTTACCTAAATAAAAACTCCTATCTAGTATCAAGAATAGACGGAGTGATCTTTACGGATACAGCTGTATTATTGCTGCAAAAGATCGGTGTCTTATTTAAAAAGACTCAGAAAAACAAGGGAATGTTCTGTGGCAATTGGTTTGCGACTATTTTATAACTTTTCTGTGCCCTCCCACTTCTTCCCTCCCAGCTACCGTCCCAACAGCTCCCAGCTCAGTTCCCAGGATCGACCGAGGAAAAACCACATCAGCCAAAGAAAATGGAACAAGACGAATTTGTGGCTGCCCCCACTCCATCCACAGGAACAGAAAAGCCCCCCCCCCCCCCTTCTAGCCCCAAATCTAGTTCCTTTCTCTCGCTCGTGCCAATCGCAGGATCTCTTTCGAGACCTTTCCTTGTGGTTAACAAAGAGACAAGATGTCCCCCACCCCAGTGGTGGAGGGTACTGCAAGCACACACCGCCTTCCAACCTTCTACCACCGCCAGTCCCTCGACTCTTTCCAAGGCTCTTACCAGGGAAATAAAGCGCAGATTGGAACCTTCTGCAGGCTCCCTCACTTTGGCCGTCTGGTCTGCATTAGTGTTTTTATAAGGGGCTCAAACAAATCGAATACAAGGTCACCAAATAATTAACAGTTGTGAATTCCCTCCTTCCCCATTAAAATACTTCCCTGCTTATATTTCATTTTCCTTTTGCCAACGACAACATTGCCTGGGCAAAGGCTCTACACTGATCACACTGCATTGCAGCTTTAGGTCCGCCCAGAAACCCGCTGTTTTGCATAAACATGCTGCACAAAATGAATTTCAAGTGGGATTTACATTCCTTTTCTTCTGCCACATGAACAGCCGGGACATTTTCAGATTTTGCACGTGGACTTCCCTCCCACCCCCAATATAAAATGGAAACAACAACAAAAATTACAATCATATTCCTGTAAACTTCTTAATGAACTGTCTTGCAAGTGTAACACAAACTGGGGGAAACGAGACGGTCCGTATCACTTTCAAATCCAGCAATAATATTCAGATCTTACTGTGTTCGTTGCGTAAAAACTCCTCCAATGTAATAAGGATTCTCTCTTGTCTGGAACCGACCTAGAAACTCTGCATCCAAAAGGGAAATCTGACATTAACCTAAGGGCCAATTGCCTGCCCCCTACCCCCTCGTTATTGCTTGGAAAGAAGCTCTCCCTGACACTGCCTTTGTGTATGAACCATTCTGCATTTCTTCCTCTTTGCCAGTTTCCTTGTTGATTTCTCTCTTTCGCAGCTCCCTCATTCTTTTACTTTTCTCCTGCCTAGTGAGTCCTTGCAGTTCCTAATTGTCTGCTTTACTGTGGAGCTCCAATGCTGGGGGTCCTGAGGCCAGCGAGCACCATCTGCGTTTTAATGAGTTACTTCATGTGCCAACAGTAATTTTCCTACATTCAGCTAGGTCCTGTCTGATCTTGCGACCGTAACAAGCGGGGTGGGGTGGCAAAATGAGGCGGGGGGAAATCACAACCTATTCCTCACTTTCTGAATTATTTTTAACGCTTGAAAATAATACAATCTAGTGCGGCTTCTTCCCCTATCAAACTGCCCCGAAAGCGATCTCATTAGTTTAGGAAAAAGAAGCAAGCAACGCGAGGAGGAATAATATTTGAATATTTGATTTAACCGCTCTACCCTTCTTAACTCGTTACTGAGAAGATACTGGTGCACTATTTTGGGTGTGCAATGGACAGATCAGAAGCTATGTTCTTTGGCTGCAATTCCATGCATTAACCCAAGGACAATTTAAAAAAAAAAGAGTAATTGCAGATCATCCAATAAGGAAGTCTCTTACTCCTGTTAACTCTTCTTGAAATTCTCCTCCCAGAGAACAGGTTTGGGAACCGATTTTCTTTATGTGGCCAAAGGATTCTTTACACTCCGCCCCAATTGTTATCCTTATGAACCCCTGCAATTAACAAGGTCATGTGGGCAGACAAGGTATGGCTACCACTGTCTCCTCCAGAATTCCTAGTTAGGTAAATAGCAGCCTATCTAATTGGGTCAATTGGGGGGCTATATTGTCTGCAAATGAATTGACAGAAACTTTACTGAGCAGGAACTGTTCAGCAGCAGTACAACTCCAGCTCGGCAATTAACTGGGCGAGGAGCCCACAGGGAGGTGGGCAGTAAAAAAGCTACCACTTCAGAGGAACGGAAGTTCTCTTGAAGTTTTTGGTGATGTGCCATTGGCTGGTCCACTTCATTATGGGAGACTAGACAATATTTGATATGTTATGACATGAACACTCAATTAGATCACTGAGTTGAAATACTCCAATCAGCGGCTTGATGCTAAGCAACCCATAGAAGGTCCAGCACAAGGTCACAGCCTGTGACACATCAAATCAAAATCAATGGGGGAAAGTGAGGCTTTTCCTTCATCAAATCAGGACTTCTGTTCGCAAATCACTTCCCCACAGAGTAGAATCCTCCATGCAGCAAGATGAGCTAAATTTGTTAAATTAACTGTCTTTCCTCCGGTGATCAAGAATAAGATGATCTTGAAAGTGGTGTTTTTATGCCGCTTGCACTGCTTTTCCTCTGCAAACAAGTTGGCAGTAAACCGAGTGGGGTAATTGTTATGGCGGGGAAAGAAATCTTAATTTCAGAAAGTAACTTTTAAAAATATACACAACCGGGAAACGAAACTATTTCTCTGTTTCTGTATTCCTAGAAATCCTATCCGTGACCTGCGGGTGTTTCTGACACACACACAGAGGGAGTAGTTACAAAACAAGCAAGCAACAAAAACCACTACGCCTTTACTGGCGTGTTTTACTTCGCGTCTAAAATCGTTCAAAGCTCATCCCGGGCATCCTATTCCTCAAAGCGATTTCAGAGTGAGCAAATGACTTCGGACGAGCGACGCTTTTAAAATTAACTCTACAGGGGCCAAACATAACGGGCTATAAAGGGAAAATGTAGAGTTTGAAAACACATTTGCCGTTACCCCTCCTCAAACTTTTCTTCCTTGACCATATGAAAACAAACTGGCTCAAACATTACCGCCTACTGTCCCAGGACCTCTTGGCTGTCTGGACCCCTGGCTCAAGAGTGGCGTGTGAAGAAAGGCGCTTGGACTCGGAAGAACAGTTCAGGTACGAGATAAAGGATGTCCCTCCGCAGATCAGACAAGAAGAGCTTTGGAGGCAAACAAGTCTCAGCTGCTTTTTTGGTTTTGATTGAAGCTGGGGATTAAAGAATCAGCTCATATAACTACAAAGGAGCCACGTGGCTTTTCAAAGCTGAGCTTTGTACGAAAAATCATCAACTATAGTAAGTTAAATTGCTTTTCAGGGCTCTCAACAGCTAATGAACCCGCTGACCCAGCTGAAATAGCAGCCTGCTCGTCCTATAGGTTCAGAGCTGCAGACAGGTTGTAGTGAGCAGGTTGGGGGTGAGGGGTGGGGAGAGAGACTCCTAAACAGATAGGGGGGAAGGGAAATAATTTACAACCCTCCTTAAGAACCAGTTAATTTTTCTGTCACTAATAGCTCACAAGCCAAGGTAACCAAATGTTTTTACACTCTCTGTCCTAGTCCCAAAGGATCCTCAACTTCACCGTGCCCAGTATAAAGACTGGCAAAGAATCAGTGGAAGAGGCAGTAAAACAACCTTTAAATGCGAAAAGGGCTGAAGATCTGGGATGGATCTTTGCCCCGGTACACAGGTAATGGTCGGGGCGGGGGGGGGGGGAGAGGGAAGCGGAGAAGAGGGTGCGATAAGTGATCAAGAACACGGCGGTCTCAGTCTGCCCGTATGGATCGCTAAGGTTCTATCGGCATTTGTCACGTTAACCTGGTGCGGTGGACGAGGCTTACAACACGGGGGGAGAATGGCTGATGTCAGTGCAAAACAAAACACAAAGCAAAAGAGCGAGGAGGTGCAGATCCTGCACCCACTGAAATCCACGAGGAGGATGGGGGTTTCCCCCACGGGTTTTAATGGAAGCAGGATCAGGCCCAACGAAAAGCAAGAGCAAATCAAAGCACCTTTCAATCCTGAGCTGGCTCTCCGCTAAGAGTTTTGCGCCGATCAGCGAACGCTCTGCTATAAGACTTTCCTGGACTTAAAAGTGCAGCTTCCATGAACTAGCCGGCACTTCTTTAGAAGAGCCCAAGTACAAGCTGCTTCCTACTCTGAGTGATTTCAAACGGAGCTGGGCTTGTTGCAGGCAATCTTGATAAAAGCAACCCTGATAAATTAGAGCAGCTTTAGGCAATAAATGTTTGCTCTCAGTCGGTTTGAACTTTCTATTTGCCTTACAGTTGAAGAGATAAGAGTGATCCTTTCTTTGCAAGAAGGACATAAAAAGAAGAGCAGATTTTAAGATTGCGTTTACACTCAAGATCGCTTGCATCTTTTTAAAATATCCCTTGCGCATTCAGCGATCGTGCATGCCTCGCTCATGTAAACCCGTGGTCACTGCAATCCGGACGGAGTTGCTAATCATTTTGCTAATAAAAAAAAACAACAACCACTATTTAGTATAAGATCCACCTTCCCGATCTTTCACTCCTTTTTACAGAAAAATCCAAATCAAATATTCTCCAGAAATCGGCTGCAGAGAAACGCAGCCTGGCAAATAAATGATCTACAACGCGTGGCTGTATTAAGGAAGCTCTGAAGGGTTTACTTGGGAATGGGATTTGGGCTCAAGGCGCAGGCTCCCTTCTACACCCGGCGGCGGCAGTTTCGGGTGGGTAGAGGGATGCGGATCTTTGAACTTACCTCGTCCCCTGTCTACAAAACTAGTGATAGTATTGGCGGATTTCGATGACTGAAAAAAGCTGGCATTGATCCCCAGTTTCTCCGCTATGGAGTAGGTCCTGTACAGAGACAGCATGTACTCGTGGGGCTCCGCTCGCTGCTGCGCTTTGCCCCCCGGCTGCGCCTCCTGCGGCAGCCGCGGCTGGTGGCTGGCCAGGGCGGGGATGCCTCTGGGGGACCTGGCCACCTTCGCCTCTCGGCGGCTCCTCGGGCCCTTGGTGGAGGAGCCGATGGAAGCCAGCTGGAAACCGGGTAAATCCCACAGGAAGCTGATGAGGAACACGGCGGAGAGCAGGGCCCGGGCTGCGTTCATAGCGAGCGGCTCCCCGGAGCAGAGCGCACGGAAAGCCCCGGCCGGCGGCGGACTGAGCGAGGGCGGAGTGCAGCAGCGGCGGCGCCCAGAGCCCGAGCTCCAGCGGCCTTGGGTGCTGGGATGAGTGCGAGCAGGCAGAGCCGAGCTGGGACTGTACCAGCCCCGGGCTCGGCCCCGCCTCCCTCCGTCCCAGCGACACGCCCCTTGCAGCTAAGCCGGGGGAGCGCGGCCTGGCTGGGGGACACCCCTGTGGAGGGCGGGGCCTCTGCCCACCCGGGGGCGTGGCTGTGCGGGTGAGGAAGAGGCAATCCGGGGGCAGGCCCCGCCCCCCAGCAGCTGGGCAGTAGAGCGAAGGTGGCCAGATCCCCCAGAGGCACCCCGCCCGGGCCAGGGGTGGGGCACAGAGCTGGGCCTACGGAGATGCCCAGCCCGTGGCGCCCCCTCAGTGCGGGAAGGGCTGGGAGCAGCCACTGCTGTTAGCTTATGCCTTGTAACCAAATAAGGCTGGCTTCTCTGCTGGTCTGTTTGGGTTCTTGTGGGACGCCCATCACCCGGGTATCTGAGCCTGAGACCAGGGCAGTAGGAACTTCAGAGGGAAGAGTAAGCACATTCTGCTGAAGGGAGAGTGCAGCGGTCATACTGGAAACACCCCCCACACTGGTACTAGGGTTGCCTTCCCTCCAGGATTGTCCTGGAGTCTCCAGGAATTAATTAAAGATTATGTCATGTGATGAAACCTACAGGAATACGTCCAACCAAAATTGGCAACCCTAACTGGTACCCTGGCAGGCTGTGCCCCCACTAGCCAAGCTCCATCCCCCTGGGACAGCCAAATGAGACATCACTATGTGCAAATGTGCCATGATCATATGTACATTGCTGGGTCACCTAGACCTGAGCCCAGCTGGCAGAGGTTGAGTTACACAACTGAGTCCTACTGTGCTTGGCTTTTCTGGGTGAGGCTGGAATGGCCCCTTGGCCTCTGTTCCTTCTCACCTGCAAGATAGATGGGGGGGAGGAGATAAATGGTGTTACTCTCCCAAGTGCTGCCTACTTGTGCCAAAGTGAGCTGTCACCCAGAGTGCGCTGTACACACCCGTATAAGAAAATTGTACTTCTCCTTTGTTACATCCTTTGATCAGCAGTGAAGGAAGTAACAATTTTGGCATTTATATGGCAGTTCTCAGCTCTCCAGCTGTCGTTTCGGGTTGTGTGCAAACTCAGGCAAGTATAATGGTACAGTTGATTTCCATTTTCCATGTTATCTTTGCAGCCATAAGGGCTAAATAATTCTCTTTTTTAAATGAAAGCTGAGATTCTGGGGGGGGGGGGGAGAAGAGAGATACCAGCTTGTCCAGTAACCCTGAGCCAGCCCAGTCTGACTCCTGAAAGGCTGGGAGGGAAATTACAGAAACTTGTGCCTCCGGGTGATTTGTATTCTTCTAAACTGTAAGACCAACACTGAGGGCAACCCTGGGGCAGGCAGCTAGCACCAGGCCAGGGCGTGGTAGGGAGCACAGGCAGGCAGGCAGGAAACACTAGAGAAGGGGAAGGGGGCGCCAGGAGCAGGCAGGAAAGCCTGCTGGTGAGGCACAGATTCTGCACTCTGCTCTTGCCACACTGAGTTAAAGGAGAGAGCAGCAGCAGCAGAGGAGGATTCTTCCTGCCCTGTTCAGGGTCATTGGATAGGTTGTTACATACAGTGACTCACAGGACATCCCAGCACAGCTTCTTAACGCAGAAGAGCAACAAACCCACTTTACCCTATGCACCCACTGCCTCTCCCTCCCCCATTCCCTCTTGTTGCTTTCCCTGCCCCTCCCACTGAATTTGATGCTGCTCCCCTCCAGCTGCTCCTCAACTTTTCCATTACTCTTCCAGACACTCCTGTGGTACCCAGGCTCCCCTCCTCCTCCCATTTAGGGTGACCAGCTGTCCCAGTTTTATAGGGACAGTCCCAATATTCAGGGCTTTGTCTTATATAGGCACCTATTACTCCCCACCCCCATCCCAATGAGGAGAGCTGCTGTGGATGGAGGGCAGTATGTTGTCCAAAGGTGGTCCGTAGACCATCATTTAAAGGTAATCTGGCCCTTTCCACAGAGTGAATTTGACCCCCTACCCTATGATATCTATGCAAGCACATAAGCTTCTGCTCTTCTATGAGCCATGCACACAGTCTCTGACCCTTAGCCACAGCACAGTAACACTGACTGTCTAGTGTCTTAGCCTTTCCCCCCAGCTTCTCATTTTCCCATGCAGGATGTGGCAGCAGGTCAACACCAGATCCCTGCACAAGGGAGGGAATTCGTATCTGATCTCCTGGTGCTCCTGACATTACTCCAGGCACATCAGTGAGAGGAAGCAGACATAGCCACAGCAGCATGGACCAGAGGTGTGTCCTGTTTGTCCACGTTGGAGTTCAGCCTGGCCCACCAGCCTTTGGTGCACATTTGAGAGAGACATTCAAGGCCTGCTCCACAGCTGCTGCAAACTGACATGGTTCGAGGGAGTTCAGTGAAGTTTGGCAAGTTTACACCAGCTGAAGTATTGCCTCTGTGTTTTATTTGTTCATAAACCAAGCACAAACATAGTCTGTTGCCATTTGCCACATGCTGTCCCCTTGTGCCCTGCAGGTTTAGTAAACAGCTCCCATCCCTCGTTCTTGTTCTGTCTCCTCTTATTCCTGTCCTAAGTCCATTCTTTCATCAGCCTTCTGCTCTACTTTCCTAATTTAACTTCTTGGGCTAAATTCATTCCAGGAGTGACTTAAGTGACTTCCCTGGTATTCCACCAGGGATGGATTTGGCCCAGTGAATTTATTTCCCTGCTGCTGCCGCCTTCCTCACTCACCTGCTAGTGGCATCTGTGTGTGGGGTGACCAGAACCTCCAGAGCCAGTCACACAAAGAGGCAAAGGAGGGTGAGCACAGTCTGAGGACACAGGTGCAGGAATTAGGGGGGTGGGGAGGGAGGGAGTATCTTGTTGATAGTGTATGTGGGCGGGGCGGGGGGGAACTAATCACAAGTGAAGGAATCACCTCACAAAACCTAGTCCCCTCATTGCCTTCCTCTGCCACTCCCCACTTGTTGCTCCCCTGCCACTCTGCCCTGTGTTTCCCTTGCTACCATTTTTCCTCCACTTCTCTTGTTCTCAAGTGCTCCTCCCTTACAACAGTACCCCAGCTTCACAGCTCCCAGTCCCCACTACTGCTTTCTGCTCTGGTGCTGTACTGCCATTCCCTCAGCTTCACCTCTTCTACTGCTCCACCTCTCCACCTGCTGGCTTTCCCCACCCATCCCTCCTGCTATTTCCTTGACTCATCTTGCTACTTTGTCCTGCCTCTACTTTTGCCCTTCCTATCTTTGCTCCCCTCCTGACTCCTCCATCCCTCCCACTGCTCCTCCATTAGCCTTAGCACTACTTTCTGGTTCCTTTTGCCCCTTTGGTGCTCTCCCATTGTCCTTGCAGTTTCCCCTGTCCTTTTTGCTTCTCAGATGTGCTCGACAGCTCCCTCCTACTTCTCCGCTATCATCTCATCTCTGTCCCCAATGATGGTCCACGCTGCTTCTCTTTTCTCCCTCACACTGTGTCTCACTGACCCCACTTCCTTTCCATGGCACTGCTCCTTTTACTACTTCTTCACTTTGTTTCTCTATCACACTTCTCTGCCCCCTGTCTGCTTCCCACTGCCTCTCTTGCTGGCCTTCAGTCAGTCCCTCTATGGCTGTGTCACAAGTCACATCCAGCTTCTTTCCACAGTTCCTCTGCGACTCCCCAAGTGTCCATTCTGCTCCCATTTTTGTCTCTTGCCGCCTCTCTGGTTCTCACATTGCTTTCTGCTGTTTCCTCCACTGATTTCCTCCGTTCCCTGGGGTAGGAGGCTTAATACTAATGCAATGCTACAGGTCAGTAGTCTCAGGAGCAACCGCCATCATTTTGATTTTAGTTCTACCTGCTGCTTTTACAATAATATGCACTCTCTAAAATTGACCTGTCAGGTGGTTTTCCACCCTCATTTGTTTGTTATGGGCCTGATCCAAAGCCCACTGACATCAGTGGGCTTTGGATCAGTCCCTAGGCTAACGTGCATGTGTGTTGTTGATCTGTCTCCACTGTGTTGTATCCTAGCCTAGAGTTTGAGGAAGTGCATAAAAACAAATGCATGTTGTATACTACAAGAAATAGAAATAATAATAACCATTTAGAGGGCCCAGTCAGGATTAGGGCTCCAAGATGCTCTAAAGCCATATAGAAAGGCGCTGTCACAATCCAAAACAGCATACAATTTAATTGAAGCAACAATGAGTTAAGTTAATAATAGGACAAAAGGGGGCGGGAGGATGAGGCAGCGGTAATAAGATTATGTATTGCAGTCCAAGTGCCCCACTTGAATGTTTCCAGCCACATTAAAATATTCTATTTTAATTGCTGTTAAGGGAACAAAATGGAATCTGGTTAACAATCACTGATTATTATATTCTGCCTTTACTAGAACCCGATCCAAAACCCATTCAAGTCAATGGACGTCCATGAGGTTAATAGGTTTTGGATTAGGCCCTGTATGAAGCCACCCACCCCCACAGTTTTCAACAGCATCCACTGAAATGGAGTGCTTGAATTTTTGGTTGCCTCCCTGGAGATGCCCACAGCCTGATTAGGTGCTGACCACCCACAAATCAAATTAAAGTCAATGGCAGCTGTGGGTACTCTATGCCTCGGAAAGTTAAGTCCTAAGTGTCTTAAACTGGACACCCAAAAATGTGGCATCTAAAATGACTGAAAATTTAGACCTTACCGTTTGCACAACAGTTTCTCCATCAGTAAAATGGGGGTAGAAACAATCACCTCATAAGACTGTATGAGAATTAATTAATTAATATACATGAAGTACTTGAGATCCTTGGATTCAGAACTTTGCAACAAGAAAACCAGAGCAATTCTGGTCAGGTTTATTGCAAGGCTGTACTAAAAGGATTTTTCAATGATTTTCGTGCTTCATTTAAATTTCACATAATTACTATTTTGTTATGAGAAAAAAATTGAAATTTCACTAGCTTTTCCTTTAAAACGGGGTTGTTTCCCCCCTATACTGTAAAAGTGG